ATCTCTGTCTTTCTCTGTATCTCTCTGGCTCTGCCTCTCCCATTCCCAGTCATCCATAAAATGAGTTCCTCTCCTCTGCTAATCTCTCCACCACTGTGATGTCCTACCTGAGCAGATGAGGCCAAGAAACCATGAACAGACTAAACCCTCTGAAGCCAGGAGCCCAGAATATATGCTCCCTCCGTTAAGCTGTTTTTATCAAGTATTTTGTCATCATGATGGGAAAAGTAGCTAGTATACAGTTTAAGGGAGCACACACTGTGGTCCAGTGTTAGAAGTTTTGGTTCATGGTGGACTGAACTCATGTCTGAGAGTGGAGACAACGCTGAACATCACAGGGGTGTGAACATGGGGCAGACAGTGTTGACTTAATAGCAACCTGAGAGCAGAGAGAATGGCAGCCAGGAAGGGACTAGGGCAAGAGAGCTTTCAAAGATACTCTCCCAGGTCCCCGCTTCATCCACATACACCCCACCTTCCACAGTTCCACAATCGCCCAATAGGCAGGCTCTGCAGACTGAGTCTACGGTGGACCAGACCACTGATGAAGGTGGAGCCTTCACAATCCAGTCACTTACCCTGAAGCCCACCTCTGAACTCTGCATGAGACAGACACTAAGCTTTTAACTTCTAGAGGAGGGGCTCCATATCCTAACCACAGCAGAGGGAAAGATGGTAGGCAGATAGATGCTTATAATTTTTACAGCTGAGGGATCTCCTGTGAACATAGGCAAGGTATTTCTGGAGACGAGTAATAAATGATAAATGGGAAGGGGGGAGATGAAGATGAGCTAGGAATGTGTTGTAGAACAACAACACCGACTGGGTAGCTGTTGTGAGCTTTGCATGGATACATGGGTGGGGAGAAGAAAGGCTCAGGGAACATATGGGTTTTACTCCTCCTTGGCAATGGACATCTGGATTTAAAACAAATCTATGGAGCAACTCTATCATATAAACCAACTGAGACTGCCACTCCCCTAGGCTTCCTTTAGGGCAACATTCAGAAGGCCACGTCAATTAGATGCTGCACTTCCTGGATCTGTCTCTTGGCCATGGATGGGCTGGCTCACACTCTGCTAACCGCATCTTCCATTTGTGTTGCTGCTTTTGAAGACTTGAGAATCAAAGTTCACATGAGCTTTTTAGAAAATTTCCCCACCATGTGTGGAGAGTGGACACACTGAGTATGTTTTGAAATCTTCTGGAACATCATTTCTGTAATTAACGGAGCGGGGGGGCGGGGGCTCTCATTTAAGGCCATGTTAACAGGGTCAGCTAGCACCACCACCCAAAAAGCATGATTTACACAATTTTGCACTTGAGAAAGTTGAGACTCAGACACTGAATAGCTTGCCCAATATCAAGAAGAGAGAACATGGGGAAAATAGAGACTCAGATCTAAGTCTTGATTCCCCCAGGAGGAGTCCCATGATGACCTTCTAGCCTCCTTTCCTCTCACTTCCTTCTCCTCTTGCCCTCCCAAGATTCTCCACAGGTTTTGTCTTCCTCTCAGCACCTTTCCTGGCATATGCTTGGCATTCAGTAGATAATCAGTACATAATTCAGCAGATAATTTATGGAGACAGGCTCTCACTATGTAGACCAGGCGAGTTTGGAGCTCTCGCTCTTCCTGCCTCAGTTTCCCAAGTGCTAAGATCACAGTGGCAAACAGTATTCCCCACCCTCAGCATGGATACTGATTAGCAAAATATGCCCAGACATTTTGATAGATTCTTATAGATTCCTGGAAAACATTATTCCTGCTTTTGCAAACAGGCATTCTAGAACACGATAGGCAGAAAGATGAAAGATGCTTTAGGAAGGAAACCTGCCAGTATCAGTTTCCAGTTGGGTTTGTAATGTCTCTTTGAGGCAGTTGTCAATCACCTATAAGGGGGTCCCTATTTTGCAATGCTGGTAGAGTAATTCTTTACACTCATCAATGCAGCTAGGTTTCCTCCTGTGGAATCCTGCTCTATTCCTGATCGCACAGAAATCACAGCCCCCTTCTTTATCGCAGACCACACCCGTCTTAGTCACTTTTCTATGGCTGTGAAGAGATACCTTGACCAAGGCAACTTGCAGTCAGGACTTAGCAGTTCCACAGGGTTACAATCTATGGCCATGATGGCAGGAAGCATAGCAACGGGCCAGTAGGCAAGCGGGCAGGCTGGCACGGCACTGGAACAATAGCTGAGAGCTCACGTCATTATCCACAAGCTGGAGCCAGAGAGGGAGCCAAGTGGGAATGGGATGAACTCTTGAAATCTCAGAGTCCATTCCCAGGGCCACACCTCCTCAAATAAGGCCATGCTTCCTAATCCTTCTGACCAGCTCTACCAACTAGGGACCAAGTATTCAAACATACAACCTATGGGGCCCATCCTCATTCAAACCACCACACTGCCTCCAAGGTTGAGTTTCCTTTATTCCCTTTTCTTCTTCCTTTTGCGTTCGCTTTGGAGCTTGCCTGCCTTAAGGCATTCTTGTTTTCTTGCTTCCAACATTTCTTCACACCAAACAAGAGCACCTGTTATCGGCTTCCCATCCCTAACTCCCAGATGTCTATCCTGAGCTCTGTGCCTTTTAGGAACCATGCTAATTGAATTACGAAAGCAGAGAGAAGGCAAGGGTGGAGCTAAACAAAGTCACAGAATTACATTTTCGTCTCTGCCACTAGCACCCCCCCCCCCACACCTCATGACACCCAAGAAAGATACCTAGGCACAGCTGGAATTTAGCTACTGTCTTTGCTCCATAGGGAATGCTGCCTTGGAGGGCAAGGCAGGAAGGTGCCCACTCAGTCCAATTTGGGGTTAAACATTGTATTTGTCTCCCTGGAGACCAGCTATCATGTGTTCTACCTACCTCCTGCTCCCTCTGCTGTTTCTCTGCGATTAGCCGGGAAATGGGCCATCTCAAACTACTAATCTCTAATAAAACACTACACTTTTTGTAAATACGTGATTTTTGTCCCATTGAGTAATTGTTGTTTTTAAGCTGATTTAGTCCATTGCCTTGAACATCGTAGCTCATGTGGTGTTAACTGGATTTCCCATTTGTGTCACTGAAGACTTATGTGGAAAATACAAAGAGAAAAAGCCGCCCTTTGGAAGCAGTGAAAGGAAGGAAGTTAATTGAATTTAAATTAGACACAGCAATAACTTAAAACATAATTGAAAGCTTCAAAGGAAACACGTGTTTTCTTACAGCATAGTAAGATTCCTGTAGGATGAAATATTTTAGCGTAAAGCTTTGATATACCTTCACAATCTATTTGCTTATGAATGTCAAATACTTTGTGATATAAAAGTATATTGTTTCCCATGTTCAGAAATCCTTACAATTGCATACAAGTTCTATTTTTGATGATACTAAAAAGGAACAAAAGTTTTACCTTTTTTACCAGTTTTACCAGGGATGTGTGTCCACGGTAGGGGACTAGCATTTGTGAGGTCTTGGGTTCAATCCCCAATGCTAGATAAAAAGAGTAGGAGGAGAAAGTGGAACGAGGGAGGGAGGAAGGAAGAAAGAGGGAGGATGGAAAGAAAGAAACAATGACATGTTTCAACCTCCATATTCCCATTATTTTTGCTGGGCTTCATACAGAAGGACTCTAAGTTGCTTTGAGATCTTCACAAAGCTTCTATCTGGACACTGCAAAGACGTACATTTTCCAATTGTCTAATAGTGGATGCTTTAGGCATCCTTTTATTTGAGAATGTATTAAATCTGCATTGATTTTGAGAGCATCATTCTTATAAAACCAGTTACAAAACCGGCCAAGGGGTGGGGCAGGAAGTTAGGCTAATATTCCCTGTGACGGTCTGCTGGACCCTGACCTTCCTCTAGGTGGCCCGTGACCATGTCCACCTTGATATCCCAGCACAGGACTCAGCCTTTTACTCGACCTCCTAGCTCTCCTCTTCCTCTACATCTCATCTGGACCATTTCAAACCATGCTCCACTCTCAGTTCTGCCTCTGCTCTACGTTGCTTTTGTTTTAAATTTAAAAGGTTTTTTTTTTCATTTTGCACACCAACCACAGTTCCCCCTCCCTCCCCTCCTCCTACCTCCCCTTCTCCACTCCCATCCACTCCTCAGAAAGGGTATTATTTCCCATGGGGAGTCAACAAAGTCTGGCATATCAAGTTGAGGCAGGACCAAGCCCCTGCCCACTGTATTGAGCTAAGACTGCAAGCAATAGAGGAGAGGATGCTTGAATTGGCCTTCCCCAGTGGTCAGATTGATAGTTACCCTAATTGTCATCATAGAATCCTCATCCAGTAGCTGATGGAAGCAGGTGCAGGGATCCACTGGGCCTAGCTCCCGGAGTTTAGTCCAAGAGTGGGAGGAGCTATAATATGAGCAATGGGGTCAAGACCATGATGGGGACACCCACAGAGACAGCTGACCCTAGCTGGTGTGAGCTCACTGACTCTGGACTGACAGCAGGAGAACCTGCATAGGACCAAACTAGGCCCCCCGAATGAGGGTAACAGTTATGTGGCTTGGGCAGTCTGTGAGGCCACTGGCAATGGGACCATAATTTATCCCTAGCACACGAACTGGCTTTTCATAGTCCATTTCCGATGGAGGGGTGTCTCGCTCTACATAGGTTTTAAAAGCTAGATCCTCACTTACTAGCTCACTTGAGATCAAGTTAATCCTTACCCCAGTTAGGATGAGGGTGGGTTGCAGAGGAGCTCCGCTTTAACTGGTTCAAAGTGCGCCACCTAGTGGCTATAAATTGTTGTGCACCTAGCACCAGCACCAGCACCATGCATCCAGGGTTCTTATTCCAGGCTACTGCCTCCATCAGGAAAGTTCTGTCCTACGAGGACGAGCTATAGGTTGGGCAACAGGAAGGGCAGCAGCTCAGCTTGCCTAGGGGAGCTTTGCCTAGGAGAGTGGGACAGCTGAACTCTAAAGCAGCTCCAAAACCTGAACGAAACACGTTGGTGGAGGTGAATTCCCTTTGTTTTCTCTTTACGCAGCTCCGAGCAGCGAGTCCCCTGTTCCACTTCTTACCACAGCTCTGGTTTGCACTCGAGCGACAGTGTCTCAAAAGCAGGACCCATGGGCCTTCCGGAAATAAGACAAGTGCCAACCGTTGTGATCGAATGCGACGACAATAAAGAGAATGTGCCTCGTGAGTCCGACTATGAAGACTCATCCTGCCTGTACGCCCGGGAGGAGGAGGAAGAGGAGGAGGAGGATGACGAAGATGCTGCATTGTACACCAGTACGTGTGGGCAGACGTTCCGGGGGGCGGGGGGATCATGGTACCGTAAACACAGTGCAGAATGGCTGCCTAAATATCTGCTCTTACCTGAGCCCTAGCAGGACAGCTCACGTGATCTCTTAAGGCCCCGCTTCCTTAGCAATAGTAAGAGAGAGAATAACTATTACCCATCCAGCTTCATAGCGATACACATTACACCACTACTGTATTGCCTCCTACCTGTCTTGGTTAATTTCAAACAACAAGGGATCGGGGGAGGGAGAGCTGGAAAATCTGTTCCATGTGTGTAAACCTAACCACTGTGTATTTGACATATTCAAGTTCAAGTACACCTTGCATCAACTTTAGAAAACCTGAATTTAAACTCTCTGTTGGAGACCTTTAACTATTTTAAGAAATAGAGGAAGCAAGTTGCTAATCTATCACTCCGGCCATAAATAACAGATTTAATGGTGTTAGGATAGCTATAGCTGACTTGGAGCTAATAAAAGTGAATTTATCCTAACAGCTGCTGTTTGTTGACTATATAGTGTGTTCCCAACAATGAGCTAAGATCGTGTTCTCATATTTCTATCTTAAAACATTCTCGGGGCATCAACATGGTCCCATTTTACTGGTAAATGGAGATGTTGGGGAAGGAAGAACCATAGAGATGCTCTCAGAGGCTGCAAACACCCACCAGTAGAAGGGGGCAGCCGCCAAGTCGATTGCATGAGAGTAGAAGATTCTGTGCCAGAGCTTCTCAGCTTAGCACTGTTGGCTTTTGGATCACATCACCCTCCGCTGTGAAGGTGGCCCTGAGCATTGCGATGTGAATAGCAGGCTCCATGGTCTCCACCAGCTGAATGACAGTACCAACCTCTTGACTGCCACCTCGCCTTTAACACACAAAAATACCTCCTGCTTCTCACTAACGTGCAAAATCATCTAGTTGAAGCCACAGGTGTATAGCAGACCTGGGTGCTCAGAAACCTAGGTGTTCGAAAAAAAGAGCAATCTCAGACTGTTGCTCAAATCCCAGTCTCCAACCCTGCTCTCACCCCAAGTGGCCCCACCTTGACCACACAGCGTTATTAACACCTCCTTCTGTACGTCCTGAACTCCGGGTAACTGCTCTTGTCTATCTCCTGAGGGTTCCTAGCGTCCATGTCACCAGTGACCATATGCAGATATGGATTCCCACAAGCCTGCCCCCTGTGGGCATGTCCGGTGCCCTGGCAGCAACCCTCCTCTATGAGGTCTTTCCTAGCTGCTGAGACCCCTGTCATCCCTGCTCCTCTTCTCTCCTGGCACCACACAGCAAGGAGGTCCTGTCCCCCTTTGTGGTGTTGCCACATGCTGGGGATTTCTGAAGGGAGAGACCCAGTCACAGGCTGCCCTTCCCTCCCAATGTGTCCCACGCTGTGTGAGGTGACTGAAGTCCAAGCGGCAGCAGTGCTAGGAACTCAGACTTCAGTGTTCTTGGGTATTAAGCCCTTAGCGTCTGTCTTCCCACCTTTTGCTTCCTAGCCCACCTTGCTTGGCCTCATGGGCATCCAGGCGGATGGATGTCTCTGTTAATTGACTGATATCTCCCTCCCACAGGCTCTCTGGCCATGAAGGTCTGCAGGAAGGACTCCTTAGCCATCAAACTCAGCAACAGGCCCTCCAAACGAGAGCTGGAGGAGAAGAACATCCTCCCCAGACAGACCGATGAGGAGAGGTTGGAGCTCAGACAGCAGATTGGCACCAAGCTCACCAGGTAGGAAAGCAGCCCTCCTGCCCTGCTGACCCCAGGACAGGCTCTGTGGCTACAGTAGACATACAGTAGCCGCCATCTCCAGCCTGCTCATTGGTGTCTCTTAGCAACTTACTTACAAAGCTGGTGGATAGCATCTTATTTTGTCCCTAAGATTGCTTTTAGTCTCTCCACTTCAATAAGTCAAATCTTGGAGAGTTCCCTTGATTCAAAGGTTAGAAGGGGGAGGACTGTATGTAAGGAGTTGTGGTTTGGTTAACTATGGAGACAACAAGCACACTCTTCTGTTATGCAGTCAAATGTTTGGTAGTGATGCCTCATTGCTACTCTAGGATGCTTCTTGAATGTTGTATGTATGGTTATTAAAGACATAGGTGTAGCTTTGTATTGTAGTAATATCTTAAACTCTTGTGGTAGGTTTGTCATCTAAGTCTAACTTTACATATTAATGGGTAACATTTATTAAATGCTTGCTATTTGGGCATGCTTCTAAGTATTTCATATTACATATATTAAATCATTTTTCTTTGAATTTCCTCTAAAATAGGCCTGTTAGTGCTCAATTTACAGTTGAGGACATCAGGCTTAGAGAACTTTAGTTACTGTCTTGGTTACTTTTCCATTACTGCATATTACTATATATAAAGCTTCTTTCTCATGATTAACTTGGTTTCTTCCTGGACGGTGTTGTAGTAATGATACAGGGATGTGTGAAATAGTCAACGCTGATAAGATTTGGCCTTGTATAACACAATATTCTAATGTGGAGAACAAAAACATGAGAACGACATATATACATCTTCTTATGCACTTGCTATCTTACTACCTCTGTGTGTGTGTGTGTGTGTGTGTGTGTGTGTGTGTGTGTGTGTGTATCATCATCTTCCCAAGGAGAAACTGTGCCCAGTCTTTCACACAGCCACATCCCACCACCATAATACTCTGATCATAAAACTCAGAAGGGCAAGAGACATGGCTGTCCGTGTTTGGAAAGTTCTCCGTATTCAAACCTTTGTCCAAGACATTCTCCTTCTTCCAACACTTCTTCCTTTCCAAAACATAAATACTGCTGGGAATTTATGAGAGCCACTGAAGACCGACCATGGTGTTTGTCTCATAAGATGAGCAGGAAAGGAAGCTTATTATAGCCTGATGGTTTTAATAACATAAGAAAAACAGTGCAACAACCCAAAAATAACTGAGGGACAGTGAACCGAGTGCTGTGAGTCAATTTCTGCAGAATCTTCCAGGCTGGAAGTACAGTGTCTACCTAAAAAGCATGATTATTATTCTCTCGTTAGGGTTTGAGTGTAAAGTATCCCCTACAGACACGAGTGTTTGAATTCTTGGTCTCCAGGTGATGTGCTATTTAGGAATGTTGCAGAAGGCTTAGAGTGGGTGGGACCTAGCTGTAGGGAATGGGTTGCTGAGGGTCATAGCCTAGTTCCAGCTACATCTCTGTGCTTCCTGCTCCACTGAGGTGGGAGGAGTCCCACGATGGGAGGAGTCCTGCGATGGGGCGAGTTCCAAGGTAGAGACCCTCAACCATGACCTCAGCAGTGCTTCCCTGCCTGTAGTTTGGAGCCAGTGAAACCCTTCCTCCCCTTAGCTGCTTCTGTCAGGCATCTTGTCCCAGGGACAGGAAAGTCACCAGTGCAACTTCCGGTAGCATTGCCTTGCAGGCACTTTGGAGCAACTGTTCCTGACTCAGTCAAGAAATCATCAGGATTCCTTTGATGATAAGTGACTGAGTCAGCCAGGGCTGGAGAAGTTAGAGATGGGACCACGGACGAGAAGGTCCGCATTGTAGATGCTCAGGGTTCCAGGATAGTGCAACAAGGGCAGGCGTGAACAAGCCTGTCACCTGGGGCGTGGGAGAGAGACAGTAGAACTTCTACTTTCGTCGTTTCCTTATTTTCAGTTTCTTCATTTATACCTCATTTTAATGGCTTGGCACGTTCATGAAGTAGTTCCTGTTTAATTGTTACCATGAATGGATAGTATACACACAGTCATGCATGGTGGCCACACACTTGGAATCCCAGCTCTTAGGAGATGGAGGCCTGGAGGTAGGAAGATCAGAAGTTCAAAGTATCATTCTTGACTACATAGCAAGTTCAAAGCTAACCTAGGCTATATTCAGTCCTATCTAATTAGCTAGGTAGGTAGATAGATACATGAATATATACATTTATACATACATACATAGATGGCACATGCGGGGGACGTGCTGAGACTTTTATTGATAAGAATGTTTAAAACCCATTGGTCTAGGGGTCTCTTATCCAAGCCATGTGAGCAATACTTTTCACCCCAGTAGTCCCTAGTCAAGTGACTATAGAGACCTCGGGACATTCCCTCCCTCCAACCGAGACCAACCCCCGTGTGGAAGTCCATGCTACGTTCTCTCTGGGTGTCTTCTAGGGAGCTTGGAACTTGATCCCTAGGAAGAGGTCACCTTGACTGTGAAATCTTAGCTGTTATATTTTCTTCAAGAACCAGCTTTTCTTCATCTCCTCACTGACATGATGTTCCACTCCCACGACTCAATTTTTTAACTTTGAATCTAATTTAACACTTCAGGAACATTACCATAAAAAAATGAGACATAGAGCCAAGCTTCTTAAAGTTCATAGGTAGGGTGCCCTGTCAGAGTGGTCCCCTGAGAAAAAGATAGCATGTTTCTTCCCTTCTGTTTCTAGTTTTGGGGGAGGGGGGCTCATTGATTGAAATGACTACTTTCGGGACCACTGCCAAGTGGGGTTGTCAGGAACAAAGGAACTAAACCACTGAAACATGAACTGACTCTGGCCACAAAAATCCAGTGCCTCCAGGCCCTTGGGGGACTGCCAGCATTCCAGCTATGCCAACAGAGAATCCACAGACTTAGCCTTGCTCATGGTCATCTGTGCCATTTGGATCAGATGGGGAGAGAAACCTGTGAAGAGTCAGAAAGCAAGGGGCCTCACAGTAACCACAGGAGCGTCTATTCCACATCCATCTTGGCAGTAGATGAGGGCTAGAACATTCTGCCTCTCTTCTTGCTTAAAATACCTCCTCAAGGTCAGTGGAATGGCTTAGCATGTGAAGGCGATTGTTGCTAAGTTTGACAACCTGAATTCAATCCCGAGGACCCACGTTGTTGAAGGAGAGAGCTGTCGCCCACAAACTGCCTTCTTATATCTCCTTCTGCATACCTCGGCATGTCCCCTGCCCCCGACACGCACACAATAAATGTAAATTTTTAACAACAAAAAACACCACCGCCCATTTAGAGATCCACTGTCTGCTTCATTGCCATCATGGTTGACCAGAAGTTTTTTCAGCACCAACCAGAGTATCAGGAGACACGGAGAGGCCATACTTGTAACTGGACACACCTGTGTTAGAAGCTCTGGGAATGGGGAATGTTTGAGTTCGGAAAGGGGCTTTCTCCTTATAGGATCCTTTCCCTGCACTGAACATGGCCCCTGCTAGAAACCTTTGCCTGTTTATCTTCCCCATGATCAAAGGAAGACGCTGGCTCGGTTTAAGCCATGAGGAGTACCTGTTTGCTGGAGGTGCTGTGACAAGGTGTCTCCAGTTGAGTAGTTTACACAGTAGAAACATCTTGTCCCCAGCTCTGGAGACTGGCAGTCTGAGAGTAAGCTGGGTTGACTCCTGCAGGCTGACTGCAGGGTGGAAGCCTGTGGCTCTGCCGGTTTCCATTCATCTCTCCCCTACTCAACCCACGTCCACTAGTGTGCTGGAAATTTGGGGCAGTTCCTTGATTTTGTTTTTACAGCCATCTTTGCCTTCAGTTCCACGTGGCATTCTCCCTAGGTGGGCTTTCATCTGTAAAAGGACAGAAGCTGTGTTGGACTAGAACCTATCCTAATAGCCTTGTGCAGAATCGGTTCCCTCTATAGAAGACCTTGGTTTTATTCTCCAAGGTTCTGAGGCTTAGGGCTTCAACATATAAGTTGGCAGAATACAGAATTCATCTCAGGGATACTTAGGGAAGCATAAAACAGCTCTAGAAAAGGGACCATGACCTCAAGTGCATGTGAGGACAGAGAGATATTGTATAGAAGGGAAGCAGGCAGTTACAAGATGGTCAGCAGAGAGAGTTGGAGCTAGGGTGGGATGAAAAGCCCCTTACATTAAGGAGCCCTCACTATTGAGATGAAGCCTCCTGTTGTATTGAAGAAATGAAAGGCTATTTTGTTGTCTCTTCTAAAAGAAAAAATGTGAACTATGAAGATAAAAATGCCAGGTTTTAGTCAGTTTTTCACTACTACAAGAAAAATTCCTGAGATAATAAGACGACAAAATGATTTGTTTTGAGTTTTCAGACTGTGGTCCATTGGCCCAGGAGCACTGGCTCTGGTGGCACACGATGGAAGGCTCGTCAAAGCAGAGAGCACATGGGAAAGCAAAGCTTCTCCCCTCGTGGCAGCCATAGAGAATAGAAAAAGGAATTGTCCCATAGTTCTCCTTAAAGGCACACCCTAAATGACCTAAGAACCTCCCACTAAGATCCACCTCTCAGCGGTACCATTGTCTCTCAGTATCTCCAACAATACTACCAGAGGGGAACCAAATCTTTAGCCATGGTCAGTGACAGACATTTCTCCGCCCCATGGCTATTTATATACCAAATGGTATTTCTGTAGCCTGAACTTAGCCCGAGATCCCTATCTCAGTCCTGGACCACTTGGTTTTAATCTTGGACCTGGCAGCTATGTTCTATTTGCCTAGTATCCACAAGGCCTCTGAATCCATTACCATGTTTATGTGGTAACTACACAAGAATAGCCTGTGTCAGGAATGCAAACATAAGCCTGTTTCTATGTGCATCTGTAGCAATTTCAAGTTAACATGTGAAGGGTGCAGACTGACCTGGGTATTCTTTGTTGAAAGTCATCCTAAGGATGTCATTCCACGTTCCTGAAAACAATATCACTTCTAACTTGCTGTGCTTCAGGGATTCAGTCAGAAGAGTCTGAGGACAGTGGCAGGTG